GGGTCCCGGAAAGGCCCCGAAACCACCTCAACGACCGGAAACAAATCTCCAAGACGGCTCAAGATGGCATCTAAGATGGTCACATTGGCCCAGGATGGCCTCCAAGATGGCCTCCACGTCGCCAAAGATGGTTCAAGATGGCTTCCAAGACGGCCCGAGAGAGTCCAAGGTACCTTCAAGTTCGTCCAAGAAGCCTCCAAGACGGCCCAAGATGGCTCCAAGATGGCCTCATACTGGCCAAGAGGCCCCCTAGAGGCCTCCAAGACGTCCTCCAGGAAGGCCCGAGAGGCCCCCACCTTCGTCCCAAGAGCGCCCAAGAGGCCTCCAAGATGGCCCCATGACAGCCCAAGAGGCCCCCAAGAGGGCCCCAAGAAGAGCCCAAGACGGCCCAAGATGGCCCCGAAGACGCCGAAGATGGCCTCCAAGACGGCCAAGATGGCCTCCAAGATGCCTCCAAGACAGCCCAAGAAGGCCTCCCAGACAGCGAAGATGGCCCCAAAATGCACCCAAGACGGCCCCAGATGGCCTCAAGATGGCCTTAGGCAGCCCAAAAGGCCCGCAAGAGGCCTCTAAGACGTCCTCGAAGAAGGCCCGAAAGGGTCGAAATGGCTTCCAGACGGCCAAGATGACCTTCAAGATGGCCACGTGATCCCCGAAGACTTTCCAAAGCGATTCGGGGAACACATGGTCCCATAGCTTGGCGGGTCTCTGGCATCAACGTTCGGCCACATAGGCGCTTCCGAGAAGGGCAGGGGGCGGCGGTGACTCGCCGTAGGCGTCTTCGATAGAAATAGAAGCATAAAGCACGCAGCACCTAGAAGCAGCAACAGCGACTCTCCTCGTGCGGCGTAAACCAAATAATCACCATTATCACCCCCCGTTCGCCCCCTCCTTGGACTCGTCCGCATGCTCCGCATCCTCTTCCTCAATTTCTTCCGCCGATCCCATCTTCTTCCATGACCCACCCGCTTCCTCAGTTGTTCCTCCCACTATCCTAGTCATCATCTTCATACTCTTCATCCTCCGCCTGCTCTTTCTCGGTATCCTCCTCCGCCCAATCCTCCTACTCCTCCTGCACCGCCTCTCCTCCACTTCCTCCTCCGCCTTCTCGACCATCCAGAATCTCCTCACCACCACCCCTGTTCCACCTCGTATCCTTCTGCTCGTCTACACGTTTCCTTGGGTTTCTGCACGTCTCCGACATGTCGTCCTGCTCAACCTCCGCCTCAATCTGCCTCCGAAGCCTCCTCACTCAATGTTCTACGCATCCACTATCCCGTTCGCCTCCTTCTCCTCTTCCTCGTCCCCCGCGTCCTCGTCCTCGTCATCCTCCTCCTCATCATCAGCCTCATCCTTCTCCTCCTCCTCCTCCTCCTCCTCCCCTCCTCAGAATTACCATTATAAGCATCATCGTCATCGTCTCCCTTCTCCGCATGTTCCTCCTGCTCCTTCTCCCCCTCGCCATCCCAAACACCAACTCTTCTTCCCAACCTCAACCATACGGGTAGAGGGGGGAGAAGACGATGCGGGACAAGACGAGCAGTAACAAGAAAGACACGAACACGAGGACACAGCGTGGTGGGAGCCATGGCACGTGAACATAGAAAGCACAACCAACTGGCGACGGTTAAGCGAGAACGACGATGAAGGTCAAGACAGACACAAGGACAGCACGGATACGAGAACGAAGACGAAAAGTGTTCAGACCCTGGCACGTGAACATAGGAAACAACAACAACAAACAGAACAACAGATAAAAGCTGCGCCCACCATGCCCACGATTGCCAGCTCGGGCAGCCCGAGACCTCCGCCGATGCGGCCCCTGGGCTCACAGTAGTGGCACCTAGGCGTCTGCAGGCGGCTCGTGGGCTCGAACTCGTCCAGGAGAGGGGGGGCGTCCAAGAAGGGGACCTCCCAGACCGTGGCCCAAGGCATGTGCGCGGACGAGGGGGGCACCAGGGGACGTGCGGAACGACGAAGAGGGGGCCAGAAAATCTCTGGTGACCCCCCACCCACAGTCAAGCTGCTGCAATGCGGAACTCGGAACGAAGCCCCTTCTGGCACAGAAAGCGCCCAGGTACACGAGGAGGGCTAGAGGAACAACCACAGAATGACCTAAGGAACAGCGAGCTCCTTCCGAACCCAAAGCGGACCTCGTTTCAGCGCCCTGGCTGTAGTCATCACCCCCCTCTTGGACGCCCCCGATGGGCGGAGGGGGTGGGTCACCAGAGGCACCTCCCCGGCTCGCGGCGAGCACCGAGGGGAGGGATCAGCCAATACCAAGTCGGGAGACGGGATCGAAGCGACGTGTGCGTCGGAACTGGTCGCATCGGTGCGGAGTCGGAAGCGAATCGAATCGGCCGCGCCAAGATGCACGACCGCGCGGTGCAGATCTCGGGCCGCAAAATGACAGTCGGAGCATCGGAATCGGACCGGATCGAGCCGACCGGAACCGATCTCGAATCAGATCGATCGGATCGAAATGGACCCTGAGCGAGCGGGGCGACGACGCCATCGTCAACGCCAGTCGGGATGGGCTCTGGCAGAGGTCCAGGGACCAGCTCTGCGCGGATTCTGGCCAAAGGGGCAACGACATGCAAGATATCGGAGAAAAAACGGCTGGGGTTCATAACTTGAAGGATGTCTGCAGCACCGTGAACCCCAGCAGTGACCAACGAACAACACACACTCAAACCTGCAGGGAGGAGGAATAGGAAGGGCGCGGAAATGAAGGCGCTATAGGTATGGGTACGGGTTGTGAGCCGCCAGGGGTGAGGGCAATCCCGTTGTGGGGATGTCTCAGACGGTTTGCCTGCTTCGGGCCCGTAAGCTTTTCTTTTTTGCTCGTGGCCCCATGTTCATTCACTGCGACCAAGCAGACGCCGCACTTCGGCACCCCAGAGGGGAGCCGCCAGGGGCGGACAGTTCAAAGTCGCGTCCAGATTGTGGAGATGTCTCAGCCAGCTTGCCTTTTTCGGCCCCCCCAGGCTTGTCGTTGTACTTGTGTGCTCCGCCATGCTCCCTTACTGGACATATGAAAGATCTCCAGAGAGGAGGAGGATGTCCCTGAAGTCGTCGCTGTCGTCGTCGTTGTCGATTTCGCGTCCGCTGTCTACGCGAACTCGCTCTCACACCTAGATGCTCACAGCCAGAGTTCCTCAGCGAGACGTGACAAGAGTATGAGATGCACATAGTATGGGGACCTCCGCGTCGAATAATCACCCTCGTGGCCGACCATCAATTCTGGCGACCGACCGTCGTTTTCATCTTAGCCATTGCCGCTGTCGCCGTGGAGCAGTTGTTTAGGATGTTTGTGTGTCCTGGGGAAGCCTACTTGGGACCCTGGCCCCCAAACCCCCAGAAACCAATACACTATAAACAACTCTAGAGGACAGGCCTTGGGCGGGGTCTGGGAATGATCATTGATCGGGATGAGGGGCGGGGGGTAGGAGGGAAAGGGATCGAGGGAAGAAGGGGGGAGCTGCAAAAGGAGGGAGAGTGAGACGGAGGTGCACGACGAAGGAAGGACGATAAAGAAGGAAGGGGAGAGGTGCAGTGCAGAGAGCATGGATGACGGAGTAGGGCGAATGGGACGGCGGAGGCGGCGGGGGGAGGATGAGGAGGAAAGAAGATGGATGAGGACGATGAGGAGGAATCGAAGAGGAGGGGAGGAAGCGGAAACGGCGATTCGACCTGGCATATCGCACAAAAGACATCATCACAATTCGCCCGGGCCACGTTACCTTCGACACTGAATGGAGGATTCGCACAGGTCGGGGTGTGTGTAAAGCCGACGTAATGGCACTGTGCAAAATGAAAACCCCTCGTGATCCACATATAGCACGATTGCGCTACAAATCGACGGTCGGAAAGGGGCGTGGATATTCCCAGCTGCGAGTCGGCATAGGCGCGTGTGGCGGCGTTAGGAGAACACCTTTCCGAGCCTGTAAGATGTTGCTTCACTCCGAGTTAAGAGCAGTAGTTGGCACCCACTGCCAGTGTGGCAGGCCACTGTGCATCTCCCAGCTTATCCTGTACCAAGCGCGTGCTGGTAAAATAAAGTCCATACCTGCAGGCTGGCGTCTAGGAGGCTTCTCTGATTTCGGAATGGGGGTACGGCAGGTTCGCGTCGTGTCGACCCCACCGCTGGTTCCTGACACCGCGGGGATCGTTCAACCCTGAACGATTGGTCGACCGATTCCGGGGCGCTAGCGGCATTCGCCAACGGCATCGGTTGAACGCTGGCGGCTGGGTCGCCCCTGGGCGACACGACGCGGAACTAACCGTAAAGATGCGGTGGTGGTCTTGGAAGGTCGGGTACAGGCTTCAGGTCAGCCGTGCCGTATTCGCCTAGACTAGGCTCACCATGAAAGTCAGACTCTTCCCTCTCCTCCCTCCCTCCTACCCTTCCTCCTCCTCCTCCTCCTCCTCCTCCTCCTTCTCGTCCTCCTCCTCTCAGCCTCCCCTTCCTCCTCCCCTCGGGCATGGATCGGTGGAGCCGAACGCCATCCTGGCTGGGAAGAGGGTTGGCCAGGTAGAGTCCGGCAGCGCTCTGTCAGCCCGGGAGGAGCAGAGCCTCAGGCCACCAGCCTCGAGCTCAGACGGAAGCCAGCAGCCTCCTCCTCGTTCCCTCCTTCTCCTCCTGGGGCTGGGTGCGGCTGAGCCGCGCTGGCGCTCGCCGGCGCCCCTCGCGGAACCAGGGGGGCCAGCTGCCAGCCGACGGAGCGCCCGCGGCTGGGATTCCCGGATCGGGGGGACGTAAAAGTGGGGCATGGGCAGAGGTGGGGCTGGAGGAAGCTCGATCTGAGCGGCTCCCTGAAGGAGGACATGTGAGCATCCGGCTGAGTTCGTTCCCTAACCCAACCTTCGGATAATCCCCCTCTGCGAACCGCCGACCCAAAGCGGAAGTCAAACAAAAATCATCCCCACCCACGTCGTTGCCCCTGCTGGGCCTGCATCCCCTCCCCCTCCCGAGGGACGCCCAGCGCTGGGGCCCGCGCGGTGTGCCGTCGACGGTGGTGGCGTCCTAGCGGCGGGGGGAGGAGGGGATGGGGACGTATTGAGGATTCGAATTCCCAATCACAAGCTTCTCATCAAAGGAGGGGCGAGGACGTTAAGATGGACGACAACGCGCGTCGTGGCACAAAAGGTGGCTGACGCAGATCATCCGAGTTAGCATCTCGAGTCACCTCTCCCAGATGATGAGGGGACGCGCCAGATGAGAGGGCGGAAAGACAAACAGCGTTTCGATAATCCCTCATCCTCATCCTCCTCCTCCTCGTTCTCCTCCGCGTCCTCTGGTACCTCCTCCACCTCCTCCTCCTCGGTCCCCAGTACCACATCAGCAACCAGTAGCACGACGACAGCCTGTCTGGTACTGCCACTCTCCTTGGAAGGCGTGTCGCAGCGGGTGATCACGACAGCTGTGTTGGGGGTCCGCTGCGGGGTGCTGAGGATCTCGGAGGTGGATCGACATCACGCCACAGTGCGAGTCCGATACCAACGCTCCCCGCGCGTCTGCGCGGGGAGAGGGGGCGGTCCCCAGGGACGCGGCCCCCACAGCAGCTGCTGCAAGAAGGAGGTACACGAAGAAGCAGAGGCCGCAGCAGCTGCCGCCATCCTTTGAAAGCATGCCGTGGCGGGTGCTCGTGACTCACGTCGCGGGGTCCGCCACAGGGTGCCGAGGATCTCGGAGGTGGAACGGGGACGCCACGGAAGGCGCGCCCATCACCACGGCTCCTTGCGCCTCCGCCAAACACGCAGGGAGAGGTAGCGGTCCTCGGGGACGCGGCCCCCTGACCGGCGGCGGCCCGCGCCCGCTCGGCGCGCGGATCAGCTGCTGACAGCCACTGCGGCTGGGGCGGAAAGCTGGAAAGCTCGTATACCTGCGCCTCCTCCTGCTGCTGCTGCTCCTCCTTCTCCTCCTCCTCTTCCTCTTCCTCCTCCTCCTCCTCCTCCTCCTCATCCTCTTCCTTCTCCTCCGTTTCCTCATACTCGTCTTCCTCATCCGCCTCCTCCTCCTCCTCCTCCACCTCCTCCTGCAAGCGAACAAACAATTGCATACGCAACAACTTACAGAGATCCGCGCGGAGTTGTTGGATAGGGGCTGGGCCCCCCTCGATGGCGCGCGGAGCGCGCCAGGGGCGGCGCCAAAGGCGCCGCCAGAAAGGACCTGGCGCCGATCCAACAAATCCGCGCGGTGGTCCGAACACACGTATGTGAGTGCAGTTGCTTCTTCTTCGATGTTCTCTCCTCCGCCTCCTTCCCCCCTCCTTTTCCTCCCTCATCCTCCTGCTCCTCCTCATCCTCCTCCTCCTCCTCCGCCTCCTCCTCTTCCTCCAGGAAACTGATGTTAACGCAGTTGATTCGTATTCGATATTCCTCCCTCCCTTTCCTTATCCCCGTCCTCCTCCTCCCTCCTCCTCCTCCTCCTCTTCGTCCTGTTCCTCCTCCTCCTCCTCCGCATCATCATTTTTTGAGATCGACTCTTTTGCCTCAGATCACCACTGCGAGACGCCAGTGAGAAGGAACCTTCTGATTACATCAGGGGGATAAGCTCGTTCAGATCGACAGTGCCTCCTGGCTCGTCTGGGTGGAGACCCTTCTTGAGTCTCCAGAAATTCCTTCGGCCAGTCTCCGCGGGGGGCTTGCAGGCTTTACTGAGGCCCACCACCTGAGCGCCACTCGAATAGACCTTACGCCTGAGACAAAGCCAGAGGACAGACGCGTCTGAGCACGGAAACGCCACAACACTGTGCTGCAGGCGCTCCAGGTCACCTTGGTCCAGCTTCGAGCGTCCAGGACAGGCCGAAGCGGGAGGGGTTTCCTTTGCTCCCACGACCGAGCCCTTCAAACACAGCTCGCAACGCCAGAACCCACCCATCCTCTTCCACGTGTGGGCGAGCACAAGCACGGGCTTCGGGGGCGGCGGAGGAGCACGCGCAGTGCCTCTGAATCCGAGCTTGGGCCACCCAAGCAAGACAGCAACACCAAACTTCACGACATGCATGGCAATCTTGAGCGAGCGACTGAACTCATCTAAGAGAACAGGATCAGCCGCAGGGTGCGTCGCTAGGGCACTCTGAGCGGTCACATCAGCGAAACAAGTTGCCCAATCGAACGAACCGTTCCTCAGGCGAGAGGCCCTCTTCGTCAGGGCCCGAATCGGCCTTGACCTTCTTACAAGACCGAAGGTTGGGGCCAAACAGATGATGAGCTTGGAGACTATTACCAGCATGCTGCTTTTTGCCCGAGAGTGCTTTACACAATGGCAACGACCCCTGATCGACTACATTCTTGCAATCAATCTACAGGTCCGCTGGAGCCGCGGCAAAACACGCACTCCAAACAAAAGCACCGAACTCGGCCCCTTGAGGCGCCTGGTGACAAGGGGGCCCACAAAAGGCCCCGAGATTTCACCTAGCAAGCGGCCCTGGTCGGAAACCATAACAAGACCCCAGGCCCTCCTAGATAATTCGCGAACAACGTGTCTATGACACGAACCGTCGATCCAAAAACATGGCCCCAGACACTGCCACCACACGGAACAGGAGAGAAATCAGGGGGAGGGAGCAGGGAGCACATCCACATGCCACTTGAACTCCACCCCGCCTTCTCTACACGGGCCAAGCACCAGGTCACCAGGATGGCGGAAAACACCATGCAGGAAGAAAAACACTCGGTCAAAGTCAGGGGACGATGTGTCCCTCGCGGCCTCTTGAATCCAAGCAGGGACCACGTCGCCTCTTCTTTGATGAACGTGCTCGCAGACCCAGAAGCGATGGTGGAGCGTGCCAGGCAAGCCGCAGTGCGGGCAGTGCGGCGAGACGGAGAGGTAGCCAGCGGCCACGGCGTCAGTGGCCGTTCAAATGGCATTGCAAGCCAGGGCCCGCATGAGCCCCTTGTCCTGCTTAGAAAATTGAGAGGCCCAGGACAATGCTTAACAACATCCCAACACAGACGGTGCTCACAACCAAGCTTATCGCTAGAATCCCGCTCCAGGTTCCTGAACACCGCGTCACGACACAGAGCTCGGACCATCTGGGGGGGGTTCAACGCGAGCGAAATCTCCCTGCCAAAATCACCCCGAACGAACACAAAGATCGGCACATATCACCCCAAACGATAAAGCGACATGCGGGGGGCACTGATCGGCCAAGAGACTTTACCCCAGGAGAGATCAGCAATAGCAGAAACAGCGGCCCATCCTTCTCTCAATCCGGAGAAGGAAAGGCACCTTTCGAAAACGCGCGTCTGCCGCGACCAAACCTCAGGAGCCCATCTCAAGATGGGGGCCACCGCAGCACGCCAAGGAGGGTCGCCCTCCAAGAGGGACAAGACAGAAAGCAAGCGGCCCTGGGACCTAGGTTTGATGGTGCTCATGCCCATCCCCCCGAGAGTCAACAACTCACGATCGAAAGTGCCGTAAACCTCGGGCCCGAAAGCGCCGCCAATCAAAGGGCCAGCCGCAAAAATCGCGGTGGTTTTTCGACCGACCGCTTTGCTCAGGCGGGCGAGGCGTCGGCTCTTCATGGCAGCAGCAGCGAGGCGAGCTTGCAGTTTGGACCCGCGGCCACCATCTGCGGAAAGGATCGGCTTGTCAGCTGCAAAGTCAATGCCTAAGTTGACAACACTGGCCTCGCCAGCACCTGCTGAGGGCCCGAGCTTGGCCTCCAGTGCATCGCTGAGAGACTTGTGACTGGTGACGAGACCAATCTTGCCCATGGCCAGCTCGCAGCCCAGGGCAACGGCGATGGCAGCGCGCGAGGTCCTCGCACCTAGCACAAGGTCTGCAACGACGGAACGAAAAGAACGAGTCTTACTTAAACGAGTAACATCGATGTACACATCGAACTCGGTGATCGGCGACCGAGGGATCTCGCCGAAGGCCGACGTCGCAAAGACACGGATCAGACCCGCGGCGAAGCTGCACCCCGCAACGGCCCCTCTGTCAGCGAAGTACGGCCCAACAACCAGACCCCCCCCCCCCCATGGCTAAACATCGAAACGAGGCGCGCGCTCGAATGCAAGTCCTTGCCAGGGAAAGCGGGGAACCGTGGCGCTTGCACTGCCCCCAGAGGTAGGCAAGCCCAATGTGGTCGCAATATTTGTTGAACTCCCCAAAAAGGAACACCGAGAAATCCCCCCTCCTGGCGCCCGCGCCCGCTCGAAAGCTCTGACGCCAGACAACGTCCGCGGGGCCCCTGTTGGAGCCAGCCGCCCAATATCTTCGAGGGTGGGCCGCCTCCCGCCTGGCCGCCTCCAAGCGGCGCGCCCTCCCCCGCACTCTGTGCCACGCGGGGAAAAACGCGAATGGAGCGAAAGCCGCCCGAGGCCTTGGGGGGGGGGCCATCAAGACCCAGGCCAATTGCGCGGGAAGACGGCCAATCGCCTCCAGGACAGAAAGGAGAAGACTCATGGCAGAAAGCCCACCACCACCCCAAACCGAAAAATGACGGCAATGGAAGCCGCGAAACCGCGCATCTTCCCGAGGGGCCCCGAAGCCCATCTGGGGCGAAGGGGGTGGAGGGCTGAAACAGAACCCGGCCGTCAACTCCCAGCCCGTCGCCCCCCCCCCCCCCCCACGTCTGATGAAACTCGCCCCCCTCAGCTTTCAATAAAGACTCCGGATCAGATGTGACCGAACCCCGGAGGGCAGAGTGGCGGCGGCGGTGGGTGGGTGGGGGGGGGGGGGGGCAACGCTCGGGACCTCTCAGCGCGGCGCGGACCCTACGGCCCCGTTATCCAGACCGACTCCCGGCCAGTCATTCCAAGAAGCTCGAGCCGAGCTCGAAGAGGCAACGCGCGCCTTAGCAGGCAAATCCCGCACCTCATCGATCGCCCCCCCTTATCTCCATAAGGAACAGATCATGGCCATCCTGCCCGAGTGCCAACCCGCGCAAAGCTAAGCTGGCGGCAGCGCGAAAGACTGGGAGATAGTCGCCATCATCATGAGGAGTGACCGAGGGGTCAGGAAGCCCAGGGCCCAGGGTACCAGCATCCAAACTATGCTCCCAGTTGTTCAGA